AAACCATCACTTGTGTTTATTGGCCCAAGGAAATCGGACAACCGCCGAGAGGGCTAAGCTGTGAATCCTTTAGTGTGCCGTTGGTGTTATTGGATCTTCTTGCGTCTTGTCGTCTTTTCGAGTGTTGTGTGTTCTCTAGCCTTGCGTGTCGCTTCGCGGAGTAGCTAGTGATCGGATCAAGAGAATGGAAACGACGACAAGGACTGTGGACTGGAGTCGACTCAGGAGGAGACGACCTCGCTGATTAAGCACCAACAGATGGAAAAATGTACCACTACTACCTCTACATCACAGGTGTCATGGCAGCACCCTCTTTTAGAGAATCCTAATAGACATTGCATAATATCTAGAACTTCTAGCGCTTTATAATTATTCCTTTGCTAGTACTTTGATGCATGCTACTACCTGAGCCATTATTACCCTGATGCAACCCACTCTACCACGTCACCCTGCTTTGCGCACTCGCTCGCTTATATATGCTTACTTGCCTGCTTGCTTGCATATTACACCACTATACTTATTATTAACTCCACTTCGCATTATGTCGGGGATGTGATGCTGGTGGTGAACCCCCTAGGAATGGTTTGGCTATGGGTGCCGGATTTGGTGGTGTGTGAGCGTGCTGCGTGCGTCTTGGGTGCGTGGAGAGTGAGGGTTGTGTCGACCGAGCTGGAATAACGACAAGCCTGGGGCGAGTCTTGCCATGTGGTGCTACCTGGGCACTTGGATATGGAATACCGGTGGCGGGTAAATGGTAAATTGGAGGTGGCCTTGGGTGTGAACCTCGGAGAGGTGGAGCCCGGGTAGAGGTGCTGTGGTGGCACGTAAAATGGAAACCCTGATGAAGACATTCTGGCTTGGTCAATCCCTAAGGACTTACTAGTACTCAGACTCACTGGGAATCCTTTACATCCCACTTGCCCTATATGGTGCGGGACGATCGGACTACTTGGTAGAGCGATGCCACTGCTGCTAGGTGAACGTGTGCAAGGAGGTACGAGGCGTGGAGTTCCCCACACCCTTCCGAGACTTTAGGAAGCCTTGTGGATCCGGCTCTTGACACCCGGAGGGCCCCGGCTCTGTCTACGACTCACAGTATCAACCATCCCAGACTAGACTTGGGATGTTCCAGGGCTGAGAGGTAGGGTGGCATCGTTCTAGGCTAGCAAGCGGTCGGAATCTGCCTAGACGGGGCACCGTCGAGGATGACTATCTTGTGGGTATGTGAAACCTCTGCAGAGTATATGGTTGATCGATCGATACATATGCCGACTTATCGGCTATGGACCTTTCCTGGGTTTCGCTTAAACTAGATAGCGAGATGAGTCCTTCTTTTCTCCCTCCAGGGTTGGGGTATTTTCCGGTCGTGAGCCTTGGAGCTACGGGCCGTTGAGACAAGGCCGAGAGGGAGTTGGCCTGTCGACCTGAGTGTGTGAGATGAGATAAGGTGTGGTGGTGTGGAGATGGATTGGGATAGATGGTCGGTGGATGGATATGGATGGATGTGGATGTGTGTGATTGGGAATGTGTTAAAAACTGGACATTATTATTACAATACTACTGTTACTTACTTCTCATGCGCTAAGGATGCAAACCACAGCCAAATGTTAGGATCGCCAGATCCTCTTGTTTTATCTTTTCCACCAAAGCTCATCGGTGCTGACCATGGCCTGCACACATCTGGCGGTGTGCAGATTTCCTGCTTCTCAGAAATGCTGACTATAGAAGGATTAGGAGGTCTCGTGCCTATGCTCAAGTTTGATTCGGAGATGGAATCTACGCTGCACTACGCCAACACTGATGACGACCCGTGAAGGAGAAGTTTTCACTCAATAGTTTTCCGCTAGATTAACTCTGTAATAGGTATGTTCCCCAGTGATGTAATATCTTGTATTCCTGTAAGCTTACGATGTATGACTGTGATATCGACTGATATATGATAATATGATGGAATAAACTATTATTTTCATCATATTATAATACATTCTGTGGATTTTCCCTTCGCGAAAAATTAAGGATGTTTGAAGCACCGATGGCGTTTAGTTCGTCCGATAGAGGGAAAAGAAAGAAGAAACCGGCCAAGCATAGTATCTACTGGAATGACCAAATTAACCTTATGGCTGAAAAAAATTCCACGGAGAGGAACCACGGGTTCCTCCCGAGCACCGTAACAAACCTCATTATATATATACTGTATGCGATCACTCGTGATGGCCGGCAATTAACTTAATGCGACGTGATAGCTAGTACTCTATTTTAAATTACATGACGTATTGCTTTTGTTCTAAATCAAACATTTTTATCTCTGACCATAGATTTAAAGAAAATCAATATACTTTTACACCATGTGAATTACATATTATTAAAAGTGTTTATCATTGTGGATTTAAAAGACATAAACCTTAACGTTGCTAACCTATATAAGTTTTCAAAATTAATAATTAAAAACAGAAATGTTTGACTAGTACAAAACTAATATAACATATAATTTAAAACAGATGGAGCAATAGCCAAAGCCACGGTATAAACTTTAGTTGGCTAAAGTTAAAGACTACTTTTCAGCCATGGAACAGTGTTTTTCTCTCACGACATTTCAGCATAAGCATCAACATAAGCTAAATTTCAGCATAAGCGAACATGGCGTAAAACTTTATATCACTTTAGCTCACTTGTGTTGTCTAAAGTTTTTTTTTTATAAAGTTGATCAAACTTTAGACAGCTTTTTTTAAAATGGTTGTTCTAAACTTGAGTGACTAAACTTTAGAACGTGGACTCCAAACAGCGACTAATTCTTGTTTTCTTTTATGGTGATGACACGGTTTACTGTAGTTAGTCAACGTCCGGGTCGTGTCATCGTGTGTGTATGTAGGTGATCCAGACCGCTGAGGCACACGCACAAGCAACAATATGATGCAACGTGGCCATCGACGGATCATGCGAGGACGCCGACAAACAAAGTGGAGGAGAATGAAGCTTCCTTTGAAAGGTTCAGGTCTCGGACGGTGGCGGCGATGCATGTGGAATCGCTATCGTTTGGTGGTGGCATACGTGTCACGCCGAGGATGATAGTCCTTTTTATTTAGAGTTCAAAACTCACGGTAATGATGATAACAGTCAACGTGCCAATATATACTCCTCCTTCCAAGAGAAAGTAGTGTACTAGTTCTAGATTTGAACCAAATATCAAATTTTGTTAAGTTTAACAAAGTCTAATAAAAAAATAATATATTTCGTTATGTTTGTTTGATATTACTTTTAATAATATTTGGTTAATTAAGCTTAAAATGATCTGATGACTCTAAAAAACGAGAACCACACTTGTTTTTTATCTTTATCGGAAGAAGTACTTTCTTTAGAAGATGTTTGTCAAAATACATACCAACTCTGGTTGCCAGTCTAAAATTGAATATTTCAAAACGGCATGGTAGGTTTCTCTGAGAAGATGCTCATGCTAGTTTTTTCTAACGTAGTTGTTGCGTGACCGGAGACGGTGGATAGACTCAACTTGGAGACAGGGTTTGTCTGGCCGAGGTCAAAGGGGGCAGTACTAACATTCCTTCCGAATATATGCCATGCCGGGGAGAGAATACAAGAAGGGAAGCAGCAGGACGGAGCATCATGGTTAGCGGGAATAGCGGCCTAGCGCGCCGTGGAGCGCGTGCATGTGAATCCACCGCCACACAGGAAGGCAACAACGCAACCAACCAAAAAGAAGGCGCCTTTCTATGTTCCGCCCAAGTGGCTTTGGCTACGCCGGGTCGGGGAACACGGTGATGCTCCCTTTCTTTCAAGAAGTCAAACAAATTTAAGTTTCACTGTATTTATACAAAAAAATATTAATACTAATAATGGTAAATAAATATGGTTAAATTAATATGAAATTTATTTTATAGTAAAAATGTTTGAAAATACAGATATTGATTGATAGTATTTTATATAAAATTGATCAACCTTAAGAAAGTTTGACTATCATGAACGTAGAATTGTTTTTTTTTTTGATAGATGGAGCAATGCCAATTCCATATTCGTTTTGGATAATAATAATACTTTTAGAGTAAAGTCCATCAACGTTTCTTAAATTGTGCCGTTGTGTCATCATATACACCCTGTTCGCTTGATCGTATCAGCCATGATACATTGTTTTTCTCTCACAACAAAACAGCATCAGCCGACTTATAAGCCACGTAAACAATCAAGCGAACATGGTGATAGTCCCTAAACTCTCAAAATACTCATTTAAGTACCTAAACATTGTTCGGGTCTTACTGTAGTCCTATTGGGAAAGTGAAAAATAATAACTATCTTGTTCTCACATGTCTTCGAAGATGGTAGATTATTTTGGATAATTCAATAGTATTCTGTGAGAGAGAATAAGCTGCAACAAGCTACAAGTAGTATAGCCGAACGCGGTGAAATTGTAACTGTTTTATTAGAACCAAATTTGAATGGTCCGATTGCCATTTGGCAAGACCGCGCCCCCCAAGACCAAGCGGATCTGCTCCCGTGCATTCCACTGGCTGACATCTCGGTCCCACCATCGCCTTCGTCCACCCTGGCCCCGTGGACTGGCCCGTAGTCCTTCGAGGACGTGTGTGGGTGGCCTGGTGGGGGCCCGCCCATGCGCGCTTGGCCTCCTCCGTCCTCCCCACTCATCGCGGAAGGAGCCCCGCGCCAACCAGGCAGGCACCCAATCAACGGACGGCCGGCCGGCAGCCGTCGGAGCGGTAGGGGGCCGGGAGAATAGTAAAGCCGCACGCACGCACGCACGCGGAGGAGGAGCCAACGACAAATCAGACGAGGAGGAGCGCGGAGGCGGGGACAGCCTGCGCTGCGCTGCGCCGGCCGGCCGGCCCCCCACCTAGCCCTTGTCCCGGTTCCCTCCTCCCCCATTCAAATTTCCTGCCTTCGATTCGGGTCGATTCGAAGCGGGGCGGCAGAGGAGGCAGGGATTGGGCTCGGGGACGGCACTTCGGCGTCATCCACCACACATCACAGTAGCCATGGCGATGGAGGAGGCGGTGTCCGACAACACCAAGGGCCTGGCGCTCGCCGTCGCCTCCAGCGCCTTCATCGGCGCCAGCTTCATCCTCAAGAAGATCGGCCTCCTGCGCGCCGCCAAGTGCGGCGCCCGCGCAGGTACCGCACCACACCTCTCCGCGTTGCCGTGGCTAGTGTCCATTCGTCTTCTCCACGCGCGTCCTAGGATCCCATCCCACCCTGGCCTGCCTCTTGAGTCGTCTGATCTGATCTGATCTGCTCCTGCCTGGGCCCCGGGAGGTCTTCGTTCTGAATCTGTGCCCGCATTCGTTCCCCTGATCCGAGGCTCCGAGCACTGCCGTGCAAACTGCCGTGCCGTGCCGGTGCGTGATTTGACGCCTTGTCTACCGTGATTGGACCTGGCTGATGTCTGTGATTCTAGATCTTGACAATCCTGCGCCGTCGCTAGTCAAAGTCAGAAACCTGTGCGCGTCATGAGCGGTTCGGTCCTCATCGTCTTGTCCCTGTCTTCTAGATATAATACATGTGATCCAAGCTCGGGAGCCGCTGTGGTTTCAAGATGGGGTCAGTTTGGTTGCTCTGATATCTTCATCAAGTATTGTTGTGTTCAACTTCATCAATTATGTCTTCTTTTTTTCGTCAAACCTGTTATAAGGTCTATCAGACATTCCATAAAAACAAGCTCTATTCATGCGGCATGCCCAATAGTCTTCTGATTTTAGCTTATCGGGCCCATTTCTGTTTTGCATTACAGGTGGTGGAGGATACACTTACCTCTCCGAGCCACTGTGGTGGGCCGGAATGACCACAAGTAGGCCACAATGCTCCACTTAAAATTTACTCTCAATTTAAACTTTGGCATCCCCAACTGAATTTGCCTAGTGTTGATCTTCACAAGTGCTGCTTGGGGAGGTCGCAAACTTCATTGCTTACATATTTGCGCCAGCTGTACTCGTGACTCCACTCGGAGCGTTAAGCATAATCGTGAGGTGAATTTTCATACCATACCACAAGCTGGTACCGCTTAGATATGTGGTCCTGCGATCTTCTTTGCTTGACATTGAGTTTTTTTTCTGGAATTGGGCAGTTCAGTGTTGGCGCACTTTGTGCTCAAGGAGCGGCTTGAGAAGCTCGGGGTACTTGGATGTGTATCGTGCATAGTAGGCTCAGTTGTTGTTGTTATGCATGCTCCTGAAGAGCATATGCCAAACTCTGTCAAAGAAATCTGGAACCTAGCTACCCAACCAGGTGAGTCATTGCACCCAATCGTGCGCATGACAGTTCGTTGGAGCTGCAGTTCTCACAGAATGTCTCCATCCTGGTCTGTCGATCATTGGCAGGATTTCTAGCATATGCGGTGACAACATTGTTACTCGTGGGAACACTAGTACTCTTCTTTGAACCTCGATACGGTCAGACTAACATCCTGATATATCTGGGTATCTGCTCTTCAATGGGATCACTAACGGTAAGTGTGCTTTGAGTGGCAGATGCACAGATTAACTGTAGGAATATGCAGTTACTGAGCTTTCCTGACTTTGTAGGTTGTTAGCATCAAAGCCATTGGTGTTGCCATAAAGCTTACGCTGGATGGAGTGAATCAGGCTGCTTATCCATACACATGGCTTTTTCTTATGGTTGCAATTGTCTGTGGGGTTTCTCAAATAAATTACCTGAACAAGGTATGCACATCTTTTTTTTTTTTTGAAACCTGTTGCTTCACCTATGAGTGTATGTTGCTTGATTGTACCTAGAGCGTGTACTTCTGAGCATTGACAACTTAAAATATTTGTTATTCTGCTACAAGCTACAAGCATATTTTAACTGTCCACTACAAGTTATCAAGAAAACTTGCATCTTAAATTCGTCTAGTACATTTCTGATTGTTGCAGCATATATCTCAGTTTTAGGGTTATGCCAACTTCCTTCTATTTTTGCAGGCACTGGATACCTTTAATCTGGCTATTGTTTCCCCTATTTATTATGTAATGTTTACTACCCTTACAATAGTGGCGAGTGGAATTATGTTTAAGGTACAAACTAGCCCTATTTGTTTTGTTAATTAAGCATAACTAGGCTGTGTTTGTACTTATTGGGCTTATTACTACAAAACTATGAAATGCAGGACTGGGCTGGTCAAAGCTTTAGTAGTATTGCTTCTGAATTATGTGGCCTAATAACCATCCTTTCTGGGACCATTTTGTTGCACACAGCAGAGGAGGGAGCCAACAATTCTGCAGGTAGTCATTTAGCTCAATTTGCTGTTTTTACATATGTGTGTAATTCTTCTCTAGCAAAATACACCATGCTCTGCTGAATCGTTATTCCCCTTTTTTGTCGATAACTCCTAATGCTCCAATTTCATGAAAGAAACAATCAGGCTTTTCTATGAGGATTGAACACTTTATGCGACCAAAAAAATTGCCAAGCTATTGTTTTATCAGTAAATAGTGTTATCAAATTATCACTTAATTGGTGATAGCAGGTGATAGCCCTAAGTTAGCATTCATGGTCCTCAACATTTGTAAAAATATTTCATTACTTTTCTGACCAAAAGCTCATTTGGACTCACGTCTTGTTTGAGGATAAAACTTCCAAAAAGCTGTCGATCTGGCATATTCTGGCAGTAATAATATATTTACGATGACTCGATTTTGTGGTTAGCTCGCTGGTGATTTATTTGTTTTTTTTATTGGCAAAGTTGTACTATTTCCTACTCTAGGGGCCATGCATGAGTCTTCTTAGACTCGTTGATCTTAATATATTGATGATGTGCAGCTCTCCTGCTCATTCGTGAAAAAATATATATTTATGATGACAAAGCTTGAACTGAGCAAAATTTTCTGTTAATTTCAGCTTTGTTGCCTTGGCCTTTGGATAAAGGGTCTATATCATGGTGTATCAGCTTAAGCAGTGACAATCTGTTAAAGAATGTTGAAGAGGACTACTTCGTAGCTCTGCAAAGTTCACCTGCCCCAGTATGATGATACATTTTCCTCCGCTTTTGCTATTGATTGAAGAAACTAATAGACATCGGAAACGGAACATGCAAATCGAGCTGTAAATCTTAATAGTGCCAGCAATCTGGCAGTTTTGGGTGAGGAGATTTCATCTGCCATTTTTCGGGTTGTACATAGGAGCCTGTAAATTTGTGATTGTTTTTGTACTGGGACAGGATAGAACTTCACCATTGTTTAAAGCAAGCAGAATTATTGCCTGCATGTTGTAGTTTGTGTAAATGTTTCTCCTTTAACTAAAGCTCAGAAGTGAAGATTGATGCATCCAGTTGTATTCTGCATTCTTGAATGTTTTTGGTGTTGAACTAAAGATCGAAATGATGCACATGCTTATCACCCTCGCTTGGGGATATAAGCTTATCTAGTAGTACTCCCTTCGTTTCAAATTTATGTATAGATGTATAGCAAAATTGATGTACCAAAAAAGTCAAAACGACTTATAATTTGGAACGGAGAGAGTACTATCCACCTTTACGGTATGTTTGTCGGTTTCTACAACCATTATTTTTAGGTAAAAATCGATCCTTATTATCATCTTGTAATGTGAAATTTCTGTTTAGCTAGACGAGCTGAAATTTGCTGCCCCGCCTCTGAATTTGGACTTTTGCCAAACTGGTACCAGAATGTCCTTGACAAAATTTTCAAAAGATCCACCCAGTGACCCACAAATTAACCTTCAATGTAACTGTAGTTTGTAAGGTACATCAGTAGGGCAAGGGAAGCCGCCTCAGTGTCATGGCCTGCTACTGCTAGTTGTGGTGATTCAGGGCCATGAACTTGCACTGCTCACTCATGGCCTGGAGCAGCGCCTCCTTGTCAAGCATTTTGCACGTAGCCTCACATTCTCCTCCATCACCTTTACATTCTCCTCCTTCACCTGTTGGACTTCAGCTTCTTTCTGAGCTTTCTCACTCTCAAGCTGGTTAGTCTCGGCAACTAGCCTGTTCATCACAAAGACAAGGAACTCAATGTCAGATTGAGTACAGTTAAAGAGTTTGGATGCTATGTAGCAAAATATAGACATACTTGCCTGCCAACTGCTAAACAGACTTTTTGTAAAAGTAAATACTAACGGCGTTGGGCCGGGCGCTGAGGCTCCTGGTGAGGCAGCGGCGATTGGCCTCCCTGTGACGGTGAAGATGACATGTTTCAGAGAAAACAGATCAAGGAAGACGAAGCAGATCCAATTAAAATAAAGGGTGTGACTGTTCATGTTTCCTACCTATCAACGATAGGGGCGTTCACGTGGTTGCCGATATCGCCTCGCGCTCGCCGATTCCTAGCGTGCGGTCGGCCGGTCACGGTGGCGACGACCGTCTGATTCCTCGGACCTGAAGGAGCGGCGGCGGCGGCGGCAGTCTGATTCCTCGGACCTGAACGAGAGGTGGCGGCGGCCGTCTGGTTCCTGGGACCTGAACGAGCGGCGGCGGGCGTCTGGTTCCTAGGACCTGAACGAGCGGAGCATTGCATCCCCACGAAAGAAGATCTCGAGTGAGAAGTCGACCCACGGACGGCATTGGCATCTCGAATCGCAGGGATTGCCGTACGAAATCGACACCAAAACCAAATGCACCCAAATTAAACCCTAACAGCAAGCGGATCCCAAAATCGCGCGGAATTTAGAAACAAATAAGCCGCGATCCTCCTCGGTTGCCGATCAGACCAACACGATTGGGCGATTGTGAATGCGCACCTGCGTTCGCAGCCGGCCGAGGAGCGGCGGCCTCGCGCTGGCGCCTCGTGGCCATGCTGAACTAACCGACGGCGTCCTGGAGTTGTTCCTCCCTGCGACCCTGCCTCCTCACCGACTGCTGGAGGAGGAGGATGGTGCGCGCCGGCGGCCTCCTCCGTGGAAGTAGATCACGCCGCGCGGCTCCTTTTTTGGACAAAACGCCTACTACCGGACTGAATCGAAGCAACAGGATATATGGAGAGTAAAATTTATTTAACTTCGAAAATAGCACATAACGGCTTCCGCGACGTGGGCCTACACACCAATTATTTTTTTTAGTCTATCAACCCAACAATTATGTGTTTTATGCAGTTTCAACACATGATTTTTTTACACCATAGAATTAAGATCCAACAGCCTCCACACTCCTTCTACCTCCAGTCTTTAGCCTTCTTCTATCTCCAGATAATCACAAATCACAAGATTATAGATCCATAGATCACGAGAAATAATTTTTTTTTCAATGGAAGGACAAATCACAGCAGAGGAGGAGGCAGCAGCACTGCACCAGTCTGGTGTCCGCAGGCAGGGCCACGCACGCACCACCCGGCCGCCCTGGTGCTTTTCCACTCCACGCGTTGCCTCGGCCGCCTGCGACTTGTCTGGTGCGGTGCAGGCAGGCGGCTGCCGAGCCGGTCCGGTGCCGGCCTCACCGCGGGCCAGACTAGAGAAAAGACAGGGCACTAGAGGATGTTGTTGCCATGCGCTAAAAAAATCTATGTATTTTTTTCGCTAAAACACACGTGTGTTGTATAGCATTTCTGTTATTTTTTTAAGTATACAAATATAATCGCCCTGTTCGTTTGAGCTACTTTTCAACTATAAAACAATATTTTTCTCTTACAATATTTCAGTATAAGCATCAACCTAAGCCAAATTTCAGCATAAGTGAATATGGTGAATGACATTAATTCTACACATCACAAAAGAATATAATGACAAGGTAATTGTCATCAAAGGATTGCCCTAATCACACTATAAAAGAACGAGTTGTTTTTTGGTTATCTCTCTTTCATAACTGTTTAATCTTGACATCGTTTCATATCAGTCTTCCATCGTCCGAGATCTTACTCTCCCTCGTTAATAACCGTTCGATCTAAACATATATGAGCATTCCGTTATCCGATATCTTACGTTATCCCACGTCCCCTCAATCCCATGGCTCGACTCCCTGTGGGAGTCTCGGTCACGTACGCCTCCCGGAGTCTCGGTCACCTACGCCTGCTCAATGCAATCCCATGCAGCACCGTGGGATCGCGCCACCGGGCCTCGCTGCCCATGTGCGAAAGCCGAGCCGACATCTTCTTCGAGACCGGCCAGGCCTCCACTCGTGAGCTTTGCGGTCCAGCGTCCGAGATGATCAAGCCGTCACAACGCGTCGCCGCACGCTTCACGGCCAGGAAGTTTCGCCCCACCATGACGTTGCCGATGGAAGCCGGCGCGACCAATAGTATCACCGTGATGTGGAGAACACGGTCCCGGCGAGATCGCGTCCGCCATAGCCAGAGCGCCATCGCACGTGAAGAGCCAACCATCATCAAGGTCCATCTACCGCTCCTGCCGTTGTCCGGTCGTCGGTGAGCCTCCTTGCATCTTCCCTTTGCCTCTCTGACTCGCGCCTCATGTTCGTTTTCTGCTCATCGATCTGTCCGTCATGTGCCAGACCTCCATGCCAAGTGCATGCACATGCACCACCCTGTGGGAAGTCCGATGCTGCTTTGCGTGTCGCCTGCTTGCGATAGTTGCCGCTGGTCTGGAGAGTAGAAGCTGCTGCGCCGGGAACTTACGAACTACGAAGCTGCAAGACGTGCTCCAGGGCACAGGGCAGCCGGGCAGGTCCCTTCTATCTTCCATGCATGTTGCTTTTCAGTTAATCAACCCTGTTTGGTTAATTCTCTGCAGTCTGTGTCATGCCGTGTTCTATCTAATAACCCTTGATTAGAAATAATATATAGATGCTATACTCCTATAGTCCTAACATACATCTTTGATCAAACTTTTTTTTTGAAAACGCAGAAGAGCTACGCTTCATTGTATTAGAGAAGAAAACGGTCCCATACAGCCCACTTATCTCATATGGGGACCAAATATGAGAGGTGGTTTGAGCATAAAAATAAAGACGAAAAACTTGTGCCAAAAAACAACACGACCCGACCAAATCTACAAAGAAAACTAGATTCTACCACCAAGCTCTAAACCCTGCAGCTTCTTAGCTCCGGCTAGGCACCAGAGACTATGTTCATCTTTCAATTCCCTTATAATTGATGTTACCGAAGGTGCAGCACCCTCAAAGACACATGTATTTCTATGCTTCCAGATAATCCAAGTGTCCAAGATTATTAGAGAATTCACTCCCCTTCTATGGTCTTTCTCCACCCTTTTCATTGTCTTGCGCCACCAGATGGCAAAGTTACCTTCATTTTGTCTAGGAACACAACTAGCTAGACCAATTGGAGCAAACAATCTAAACCAGAATTCTCTTGCCACTACACATGTTGTTAGGATATGCTGTATTGACTCATCTTCTTGATCGCAAAGAGGACACTTATCTGGATGAGGGAGTCCCCTCTTAGCAAGCCTGTCCCCTGTCTCCTTTTATTAGTAACGTTTCATCCTTTTATTAGTAACGTTTTGGTCTATTCTTATGTGGTGACATCATGACTAATCTCTCATGCTGCGGTGATATTGAGCTTATAACTGGTTTGACATGAGAAAAGCATCAGGGCATGGAATTTTTTGAACGATTAAAGTATTTGGGAAAATAATTTGATCTTTGTGATCTTGGTTTAGCTTGATAAATATCTATATAATGATTAAAATGGATGCTTGATAGATTTCTATATTGAAAAAATGCTAACTAATAAGTAGTGGTTTTCAGATGAGCCGCCATCATATGCTTGCTACGTTGTGGATGGAATGAGACATCGGATCGCCGGTTAAACAGGGGGCAAGAGGCGGGTGATCGAGTTTTGATCCCCAGCAAAGCACCAAAAACATGACATAATATTGGGTTGGTTGCTTCCTTGCTTCTCTTGTTTAATTTCTGCATTATTGGCTATCACCAGGAGGATGACGTATGACTGGCCATTGCTTCTATATGTTTGTGACCCATGGTTTATATATTTTTTAGTCTTTGATTTTATGCAAGACTAACACGATAGCTATTCGAAGCAATGATAATTTGGACTGCGTTGAACATGCAAGGCTATGTAGGAGACAAATTTTCTCTATGTTGTGTTGTCTCAATAGTTTGCATTATATTAATAAGGAAAAAATGTTCAAAATTATAGGTAATGCACCTTAGAAATTTTATGTGAAATTGACCGTTCGTCATACTAGACTATTAATAAATTTATATGGTTTGATAACATTTATTAGTCTATATATATTTATTACACCTAATATTGCTATTCTTTTATTTATATATGATTTTTCTAGACACGTGCGTGTCGCACGTGCATTTTCACTAGTGAAATGAAATGAGCCTGATAATTCTAAAATTGGAGAAAATGCCCACATGAGACGTACCATATGCGGTATAATACAAATGCAGTATAATAAAGGTGCCTTAAGTCATTTTCACCCTCCGTAACCTCTCATTTATCTTTTCCATGGCCCTGTTTGTTTCGCTGAAATTTGGCTTATGCAGATGCTTATGTTGATTTGTTGTGAGAGAAAAATACTGTTCGTTCGCTAAAAAGTACTGCTGAAGTAGTGCTGCAGGGGCGCATGTCTAGAAAACCCTTAAGGCCTTGTTTGGTTTGCCCCCCGAAACCAAGGGGTTGGAAGGGATTGAGGGGGATTAAATCCCCCTATAAGTCAATATCTTCCTCAAACCCCTTCATTAGTTCCTCTCAATCCCCATAATAATTTAGGGATGAAACGAGCCAGGCCTAAGAGGGGCAGAGTTGCTATTATCACAGAGGCAATATGCAATATGTGAGGCTTGAACTCCATCTGTCTCATTGCTAAATCTGCCCTTATAGAACAAAGACTATATTGTAGTCTCATGTTTTCTTTCATCCGCCACATTGTCAATTCATTATTTGTTCTCCATATAAAATACTCTCTACGTCCTAAATTGTAAGACGTTTTGGCTTTTCTACGTAGATTGTTTTTACTATATGTATCTAGAGATAGTGTATTTCTAAATGTATAACAAATGCTATGTATTTAGAAAAGACAAAATGTCTTATAATTTGGTACGGAGGGAGACAGGGAGTAGCTACATTAATATTTATCAATTTGCATCAATTTACTAGCAATAGTTGGAATATGCAAAGGGCCTCGTGAACTATATATGTGATTTAACACCTAAGATGAAAGTAATGCGTAGCGGCGAGAGGGATACTCAACCACGCGTTTTCCTTAATGTTATCCCTTGTTTTCTATCTTTCTTTATTTTTTCGGGCCCATCGTTTCCTATTATTTTGTGAAAATAATAATATTATCTAATCCAAATTCTCATATCTTCTATGATTAATCTGTTAGTCTCTCCGTAAAATCCCCCTTGGAGATAATGGTTTGCCCCACTCTCCAGTCACATCATCAATTTATTTGTTTATTTATTTATTTACTCTCTCCGTCCCTTAATAAATCAATTCCTAGAATATGTGCAAGCTAAATTATTTAAAGTTTGACTAACTTCATAAGAAAGAGTAAAAACATCTATGGAATAACACATTATAAAAATATATTCTATGGTATATCTAATGATACTAATTAATTTAATATTATA